CAAACCATATATGTCTTGAATGAAAATGTTCTACTGCAAATATTAATTGTTGGAAATAAACTAATACCTCTTCTATTTCTAATTTCCCTTTTGAACTTATATAATCAAATAATTCTCCTCCTTCAAGTAATTCCATTACTAAGAAAAGATATCGTGTTGTTTCATATACAGTATATAATTGCATAACATTTCTATGATTGATTATTTTTAAAAATGCTATTTCTCGCTCTACCTATCTTCATTAATTTTCTATTTCTCTCCTAAAATTCTTATTTCTTCACCTTTTATTATTCATGATTAATTTCTTCTTAATTCATAAATCTTTTGGTGTTGTTTGTTTCAATTAGTCTAATCAAAAAAATTCTCAAACTTTCCTTTTCATTTCTGGCTTTCTCATTAATTTTGTTTTATCTACTATTTTAATAGCTACTTTAACTCCTGTCTTTTCATGAAATGCAAGATATACCTTTCCACACATCCCCTCTCCAAGTTTTTTTCCAATGATAAATTGTCCCACTCGATAACACTGTGACATATTCTATGTTTTGCTTTTCAGTTCAATCTTCTACTTCGTTCTATAGGTTTTCTTTTTTTGTTTTTTCTTTCTTAAAAATATTTTCCCAATCTTTACCTTTCTTTCCCGAATCTCCTCCCTTCTTTTGTTTATTCTTCTTCTTTCCTTATTCTCTCTTCATTCTTTAATCCTTATCTCTTACTTATTAACTCTTTCTTCTCATCTTTTCTCTCCTTTCATTTCTCATTAAAACTTCACCATTCTGAAACTAAAATCCTCAACAAAAAAAATTACTTAATTAGCAATCATTATCACATATTACTTTGTTATAAATTATTTCTTCTTTACTTGGTGGTAGTTGTTGTATTTGTCCTGAAAAACAGACAAAGTTTTAAGCACAATATTAGAGTTTCAGTATACCTAACATTGTTTTTGGTCATTGTAGAATATCTTTCATTCTTTAACAACCTTAAATTTCCTTTTAAATTAAAGTCAAATGCGTACGAAGTTTTCAGTTTCTTAGATAGGGTGAGTTTGAAACAGGAAAGTCGTTCTGTATATATATCACACTTAATTCACTTCTTTTTATTTTCATAGGTTGAATGAGCTTTGTTCTGTGTTTTAGTTATATAGAAAACATGATAGCAAACGTATTGTTCTTCAAAGAGAATTTGTATTGTTTTGATTTATTAATTTCTTTGACTTATGAAGATAATATTTACTTATAATTATTATATATGTTAATGATTAGATAACCCAATTTAACTCCTTAACTAAACATCCGAGTTTATTTTTATTAGTCTTGTTTAACTTGGAATATTTAAATCAATTATATTCTTATTTATAGAGGTAATAATGGCGTTATGTTCATTTAATAAATATGATTTTATAATTTCTCGGTATGTTTCAGCTACTCAAACATTTTTTATGTTTATTTCTATATTTTGTACTAAAAACTAACCATTTGATAGAATGAATAAGAACTAACTTGTTTTAACGAATGCTTAAAACTGTTTTAACATAAAACTCACAGATGAACCATATCTTGTTGGTATTATTTTCTGAATAGTGTAGAGTAAAAATAAACATTCTTTTTTAATTGTTTACATTATGTGTTAGTTTGATACAAGTTATATTATTACTAATTATTTAACGTGAATCAATGGATTAGTTGTTGTTTTATAAAAAATGACTATAGAAGAACAATAAGTATTTAAGAAAATATATACAAGTTTAAATTTATATTTACGATAGAAGAATATTTCAAAAAATATTTGAAAAATTATTTGAGTAATTTAGTATGAATTAATGCAACATAACTTAATTTATAATATTAGTTGTTAAGTACAAACAAAAATTGTTGGACTGTGATAATAACAAATTCTTATGTTCATTTATAATGAAATTAAACAGTTACAACTACTTCATTTTTAATTTCAACTTTTATAGACATTATTAATGAGTCAATTCTGAAAGAGATGAATACTTTTGTAGTATCATAATATTTTTATTATGGTTTTTAAAAGACTTATCCATACTATTATTTACAGAGTCGTATGAAATAAAAATACTTTAACTCTCAGAATATCTTTAAGAATTTTAATCAAAACATAAACATTTGATATTGTGTTATAATATCAACATCGTGTGTAAATACAATCAATAATAATAATTGTTTATACAGTAGTTCAATCAAGCCAATTGTTTCAGTGTATTTGTTCAATTATACATTGATTGTTTTATTTATTGTAGAATAAAGATGAATAAAATATATGTTAATTAATGTATTGCTGTTTTTAATGATAAAGAATGAAAAAATAATGTAGAGTTACACATTATTATATGAATAATTGAATAGATTATTAAAACAAAGACATTAAAATAGACTTATAGAATATTAATGACTTTTACTAATTTAGGTTCAATTACTAAAAATATTCAATAATTATGTTAATAAAAAACATTTTTATTTATCAATGAACAACTTTATTTGATATGTGCAATTGTTTACAAGGTGTTAGTTTTATATTTTCATAAATATTCTAACAACAAAAAGAAAACAGAAAGATAATAACTCAAAATTTATTCATGGTTTATTTTTTTGGTATTGAATTTTACATACGTCAAAGTCCTAAAGTGAGCTTTAACATTAACAAATCAATTAAAACAAGACGTTATTTGAAAAACACACTATTCTTTTATTACCTCTTCTATTAGAATAACCTTTTTCTATCAAAAAGTTTTCATGTCTTCAATAAAAAAGAAAAGCCATAAGTTTAGTCTAGGATAATTAAACAACATCATTACTTTAAAATACAACCACTTTAAAGCTATAAATTATATCTTGTTTGAAAATTAAAAAAAAAGTACTTATTGAAAAGGTTGTGTTTTGTTGAAGACATAATACAAAAACAGAAATTATGCTTTTATTATAAATGACTTACATACATCTCTCTATCAAATTTAATACACACAAACAAAAAGAGTTTTGTCAGAATGACTATTCAGAAGGTGTATTTAGTTGCAGAAGAATGGAAGTTTTGAGGATATATTTTAGACTAACAAACCTAAAATTATAAACAACTCAAATCAAGAAAAGAGTTTAAGAACAAGAATGGTTTTGTAAATTAATGAAATTGGAAACATTCATTTATTATAAAATTGGAGAGATAACTAGAAGTTCAAAAATTGTAAATTTTGAAGAATAAAATATGTTATATATTACAAATGCTAAAAATATTTTTAAACGAACTAAAAGAACTAAAAAAAACAAAAGATAGAAGTGGTATACCAATGCAAGTTATCTTTTGGTGATCTATGCATACAGTACCACAAGACTAAATCATATTTTATATTTCTTCTGTTTTAATAAACAGAAGAAATTCCAATATGAAAAAGAATAAAAAAAAAGAAGATAAAAAAATAATTTAGAAGGAGATTTGTAAAATAAATTGTTCTAATTTTAGAAATGAAATGAGTCAAAAGAAACTATAGTTATAGTTAAAAGAACAGTACCAAATAGATTATGATTTAATTAAAATAGAAAAATTCTATTTATAAATTTGATGTGTAATTTTAAGTTTTGGAAATAATTTTAAAGAAAAAAAGGTATGTGTAAAAGGGAAAAAAACGGGAAAAGAAGCTAAAGGTCATCTTCATCAAAAAAATACATTTTAAATTGAGAAATGAATAAACGAGGTATTTTCAGGAGAATAGAAACAATACCCCTTTCTAATCAATTATCCCCAAAGACTTCTGGAATAACAAAACAATTGACTGCTTCAATATTAACAACTTTTAATAGATGTTTACCTAACGAAGAACTTATCATTACCTCACCATCTATACCTATGTTAAATCAACAACGAGATAATGAAATTAATGACTTGATTATTAGAAAAGGAGATATTATTGGGACACTCACTTCTCTTGAAGGTCCTGAATGTTCAATGGATATTTCTAAATTGACAAAATATAGAGTTATTGAACCACTTGGTCAAGGAACATTTGGTCAAGTATTTAAGTGTGTTGATTTATTAGATAAAGAAAAAGAAGTTGCAATAAAAGTATTAAAAAATCATACAGCATATTTTCGTCAAGGATTGATTGAAGTAAGTGTTTTAATGATTGTTTGTTTAATAAAACTAAAAGTATAAAGAAACATACTAATAAATATAGTTAAATACATTTTATGACCAAGGACATAATAACAAAATACTTATGATAAAAGATCATTTTATGTATTATAATCATATTTGTATTGTTACAGAATTATTAGGAAAAGACTTATATCATCTTATGAAAGAAAATAAGAATAAAGGATTCTCTATTACAACTATTAGAAAATTTCTTTTTCAAATATTAAGAGCATTAAGAACATTGTCACATGCTAATATAGTTCATTGTGATGTAAAACCAGAAAATATTTTATTACAAGGAGCTACCTCAAACATTAAATTGATTGACTTTGGGTCAGCATGTTTTGAAAATTTCACAATGAACACATATATCCAATCAAGACATTACAGAGCACCAGAAATTGTTTTAGGATTACCTTATTCATGTGCAATTGATATGTGGTCTGTAGGATGTATAGCAGCAGAATTTTTCCTTGGAATTCCATTATTTGCTGGAACAAGTGAATATAACTTATTATTTAAAATGATAGATATGTTAGGAATGTTGCCTAATGAAATGTTAGAGAATGGAACACGAACAAAAGAATTTTTTAATTTGAGAGGTGGTAATTATGAATTTAAAGAACAATTTCAATATGAAGCAGAGAAAAATATTAGACTTATACCAAATAGACATTATTTTTCTTATCATTCTCTTAAAGATCTTATTGAAAAAAATCCAATGAAAGTTAGTTCAAGTGAAATTGATGAAGTTAAAGAAATTCGTGCTTCACTTTATGATTTCTTACTTCGTTGTTTTGTATATAATCCAAAAGATCGTTTAACTCCTGACCAAGCTCTTGCTCATCCATTCATTTTAGGAACAGCTATAGAAGGATATAAAATACCTCCAAGAGAAGTTCCTTATAAAGAATATGGTAAAGTAATGACAATGAAAGGAAAAGAATATGTTGATCTTGCGTTTAATGGTATAGAAGAAAATATTTGTGATAATCAAATGTATTACAAAGCTTTTATGCATGCATTTTATAATGGTCAGATTGTTAATGTTCTTACTGAATCACCATATGTTGGTTCTATAACACCAGAAAGTTTTATTAAAGTTTTTAATGAAAAAGGTGGTTTTCCTAAAAAAGCTCAACTTATGAAATCCATTACTCCAAGACAAGTTAAAGTTGTAATAATTGACGATAATAAACAAGAGTTTTCTTCTTCAACGGAATCTCCTAATTCTGGATCAAAATCTTCATCTCCACAACTTGATAATGAAAAAGAAAAGCGTAAATCAAAGGTGGGAAAAATAAAAGACCTTTTTCGTAAATTAACACCAAGTCATTCTCCTAGAGCTTCACCTCGTTTTTCACCTAGAATATCACCAAGAAC